TTATACAACTTTTATATATCTTTAAATAAGTAAATACATTTAATGTAATAGACTTCACATGAATAAAAAAAATTAATTATTTAAATAACATATCATATTATATTAAAAATTAATAAACAAAATTATTTCAAAATCATTTTCTTATTTTTTTTATAGAAAAACTTACATGTAATCATGTCTATTGGCAAACAAATAAGCCACGTAAGCGGAAGCATAGACGGTGTTTGAAAGTTCACGTTGTCCGTTACCTTCTAACGTTTCCGTTCCTTGGAATTTCCTTTTCCTTCCTTTTTGTTTTCTTCCTCTCCCAATTGTGGTTGCAGTTGCAGAAAAGGACGCCGCGCCGAGAAGAGGGAGGGAGAAAAGGAGAGGCTGACGGTGGCAATTACCAGTATGGCCACCCTGCGTTCCTCCGTCTTCTCTTTTCCTCGCCCTCCTCCTTTTCTCCCATCCCAAACGCCCAAATCCATTTCCTTTCCTTCGCCTCTCTTATTTCATCCCCTCCCCTCCTTCTCCTCCATAAACCCTAGAAAGCTACAAACCACTGTCTTCTCTTCGTCGTTTAATAATTCGGAAAATTCCTCTGCCTTCGGTGATGCCTTCAGCTCCAATCCTACTTCGTCAAAGGTAAGATTTTATTGATCTTATCATATTCTTATCCGTCGCAATTAGGAAATTTTAATATTCGATGAACCTGATGAATTCCGAATTTCTGAACTTAGATTTGATTGTTTAAGATCCTGATTTGCATAGGCTTTGATAGGCTGCAAATTCTCTTCTTTTTTTTTCTTCTTTCTTCAATCTGGTTGGTTGGACTTTGGTGATGTTTTAGTCTTTGGGAAATTTGCGTTTTTTGAATAATCGAATAAGAGCATGTAATGGAGGAAATGAGATATGCGGCCTCAATTGAATCGTGTTGGCGTTATCTAGGACTCATCTTCTGTATCACTGTATGGATGTAGGAGAATGTGAAACTATTGCAATGTAATTTTAGATTTATGTTTGATCTTAGCAGTTTCCTTAATGAAAGTATGGATCTGAAATGCAGTAGGAACTGATTTAGTCTCTTACTTGGAATGTGATGATTTTGATATTTGATCTTAATATGTTAAACGCTAATGAGGTGACTAAAGGAGCACTTGGTGATATAAATTATGTTTTACATGTTAGATACAAATTTTCATCGAATCCTTTATAACAGCTTAATTATTAAAGATGTAGCTGGTAGAGTCGGAATATATAACTTTAGAGTGGGTTGTGGATGGGAGTATCATTAAGGTGAACTGAGACAAACTACTGGAAAGCTTGAGCTTTGAGCTGAGCTAGTTTAAGAACTTAGAGCTCAAGCTTTTCTGAGCTTGAGTTTGGGAATGTTTGGAACCAAACTTAAAATTTTAGGAAAAATTTTCAATTCAAAGAGTTGAGCTTGAATTGAACTCATTTAAGTAAATGAGCTGAGCAGATTAGCTTTTTTACTGAATACATAATTGCCTAAGCTCAGGTCATTTACTAAAGGAGCTGAACTGAGCTTGAATCGGTTAACTTGGTGATGCCTGTATTTGTGGAAGCAAGTACTTTCCTCAAAAGTTATTTCCACTTTGGTGTCAATGCTCTCTTGAAGTGGGGTATCTTTTTCTTTGTAGGATGTCCATCTGATACAACTAATTGATACTTTGGGGAGTATACACTCAATTCAAATATGACCTCTAATTAAGTACCAGCTTGAAATAGTAGGTTATTTTTGTAAACCAAATAGCTATTGGACTGGCTTTACAAAGGTGTTGGGAATTATAAGATGGACCCTTGAATTTCCTTCTCTTTCACTTCATACTAGAAGCTCTGTATGGCTTACCTTGCCCATGATTGTTGGGAATCCCATTCAGATTTACAAGTACATATTGAATTCAACCATTCTTTGTAATCACTCATAGTAATGTCTTCAGACAAGTATAAATATTACGGAGAATTTGAGGATGTAGGCAAGAGTTCTGTCTAATTTTCTAGTTGAAATGAATATATGGTATTTGTTAGTTGATTGTGTTGTAATATATTTTTGAACTTGTTTTCCTTTCAGAAATCTGCCCTTGCCAATCTGGTACAGGAAATAGAGCCTTTGGATGTGAGCCTTATCCAAAAAGATGTTCCACCCATGACATTGGATGCCATGAAGAGGACCATCTCAGGCATGTTGGGTTTGCTTCCATCTGATCGGTTTCAAGTCTGTATTGAGGCTTTGTGGGAACCTCTTTCCAAGTTATTGGTTTCTTCTATGATGACTGGGTATGTTTTATTCTTGAGCAGATGCATTGCTGTTTCATATGTTCTCATTCTCTGGTTGTTTAGCAAGTGGTTGAAGGACCAGGGCATTCAAACTTATCCTGATATTTATTTTGGGGTGATTTTATTGCATATTAACTCCATTCCGATCAGATAAATCTTTCAATTTTTGCTGAAAAAGATTTGTTGACATGATATTGGAGATTATTTTTTTATAAGATCATAAGTTGTTGAAATATACAATTAAGAGGAAACATTGTTAATGATAACTCTATAGTTATATTGTTTTTGGAATATCATATACTCATGGTTTTTTTTTTTTTTTTCATTTTAAAATTGCAGCTATACATTGAGGAATGCAGAGTACAGACTTTGCCTTGAAAGAAATCTCGGTATTCGGGAATTAGATTTTGGAAATCAAAGTTTGGAAAACTCCAATTTTGATTTGCAAGAGATACTGTTAGAAAGTACAAAAATAAATGAATCACCTGAAGAAAATAAATTGACATCTGAATATGAGAATATCACTGAGGATCCATCTGAAGATATTAATGTTCAAGGTCTGGGTGAGATGTCCCCTGAAGCTCAAAGATATATTCTTCATTTGCAATCCCGTTTGTCTTTGGTGAAAAAGGTATGCAAGCAATTTCTGGAAATTACTTTGTCATTCTTGCTGCTTTTTTTTAATACATAGATTGACTATGTTGAACTTTGGTAACAGAAAGTCTAAATTAACAATGATCTAGCTTGATTTTTGGGTAACTTGTTTACATGGCATGGTAGGCAGTCATGCAGAGTAAGGGAGCATTCAATACAGATGATGTGGTTTAGTTTGAAGTAAAATTTGATCTTAGTGACATAGGAACTAGATTGGACAAGACAATATCCAATTGAATGATATTTTATTTAGAAAAACTTATATGATTTCTTTTCTTTTCTTTTCTTTTCTTTTTTTTCTTTTTTTTTTTTTTCTTTTTGGCCAGAAATTTTTCTTAGTTTAATATGTCTTTAGTGTACATGTAAATAATTTTTACAAGATAATTTTAGCTCTGGTTTGATTACAGGTGGACAATTGTTTTGGTGTCTTTAGAACCCTAACAGAACCTAAACTGGAACTATGTAACAACTGAAATATGGCTATAAATGAATTTGAACTTGAAATATAAATTTACTTTTATTGGCAAAATTGTAACCCTTTAATTTTTCTGTGCTTTTTGGTGTTGTACTTGTTAAAGATGGTGATTTTCAATTTGTGTCCTCAAAAAATGTAGCATATCTTAGTGCTTAGAACCGCTTGAAAGTGAAATGTTTGTTTGATAGCAATGATAGGAACTGAAATGCACATGAAGACCCAATAGGTGCATGATTAGTCAATGTCTAACCCTTTATTGATATTTATATCATCTTATTTTATTTATTTTTCTATTTGTTTAAAAAGTTGCTTATCTCCATTCTCTAGTTTGGTTAAAATGCATTCTCATTTACTTTCTTGCTTTATTGAAGGAACTTCATGAAGTCAAGAGGAAAAATGCTGCTCTTCAAATGCAACAGTTTGTTGGAGAAGAAAAGAATGATTTACTGGACTACTTAAGATCTCTGCAACCAGAGAAGGTTTTCGTTAATTCTTAAATAACTTTAGAACTTGATCTTGCAACAAAAGTTCTTGATAATTTTTTTCTAAATGTTGATTGGATGAATTTTCATCTGCTTTATGAAATGCAATCAGAGCTGGTGTTTCTGGTCTCCCCTCCCAAGAAACTTGGTGGAACTTTCCTTTGCAATATTTTTCATAGCTTTCAGACAATC